GCTGCTCCCGCTCCCCAAATACCTGCAGCTGCTGCTGCAGCTGCGCAGCACCAGGTGCTGCTGCTGCTGCAGCATGGGGGCCCCCAGGCAAGAAGGGGACCCGCAGCCGCCGGCGGACGCCCCCAGTTACTTCGTCTGTTGCATCCAAAAGGAAAGCAGCAGCAACAGCAGGGTCCCCCCCAAAGGCAGCAAAGGGCCCCCGAGTCTTACCCTTGTCTCCACCAGCAGCAGCAGCAGCAGCAGCAGCAGCAGCTGCTGCTGCTGCTGCTGCTGCTGCTGGTGTTGGGCTCCCAGGTGCCAGGCGGTCCACAGCCAGCACTTCCGCTGCAACGCCACGCAAACCCCCAGCAGCAGAATCAGCATCCAAGGCAGCTGCTGCTCTGTCCTCTAGCAGCCTCAGCTGCTGCTGCAGAAGACTACGCTCGCTGCTGCTGCTGCTGCTGCTGCTGCTGCTACTGTTGCTGCTGCTCGAGACAGGGATTGCTAAGGCCAACTCAGAGTTTGCTGCAGTCTCTTCTGCAGCAGCAGCAACACCAGGGGACAGCAGCAGCTTCCTACGTTTTGGCTCGTGCGCTGCATCTGCTTCTGCTTGACTCCCTTGCAACGCCTCTTGCTGCTGCTGCTGCTGTTGCTGCTGCTGCTCCTCTCGATCCTCTTGCTGCAGGTGGTGCTCTCGGTATGCTTGTTGCTGCTGTTGTTCTTGGTCCCCGCCAGCCTGCTGCTGCTGCTGCTGCTGCTGCTGCGGATCCTGCGGTGAACTGGGGCCTTCCAGCGCCAAGAGTTGCTGCTGACAGCTTTGCGGCGCTGCTGCTGCTTCTTGCTGCAGCAGTACCTCGCTTTGTGCCGGCATAAGCGCAGCAGCAGCAGCTGCTGCTTCTGTTGCTGCTGTAGCTTCTGTTGTTGCAGTTGCTGCTGCTGCTGCTGCTGCTGCTGCGTTCAGGGGTAAGAGCTGAGACGCAGGGAGGCTGAAGAACCCCCTATGGGCCTTCGAGCGAAAGGAGGCGCCAATCATAGGAAGTGTACCCGGCGGGAATCCTGCTGCTTCTGCAGCAGCAGCAGCAGAAGCAGCAGCAGAAGCAGCAGCACCCCCTGTTGCTGCTGCAGCAGATGAGGCAGGCTCCTGCTGCTTGGCTGTGCGCCGACGCTCCGCTGCTGGCAGCAAAGCCAGAGGTGTATCTTCCTCAGAGTCATCTGCTTCAGTTCGTGCTGCTGCTGATGCGGGTGTTGTCTGTGCTGCTGCTGCTGCTGCTGCTGCTGCTGCTGTTGCTGCTGCACCTGCATCGCCTTCAGCTGCTTCTGCACTATCCCAAGAAGGCTGCTGCTCAGGTGCAGCGTCGCAGAGCTGCAGCAGTGTGGAACTCCCGTTTTGCTGCTGTTGTTGCTGCTGCTGCTGCTGTTGCTGTTGCTGTTGCTGTCGCTGCTGCTGCTGCTGCTGCTGCTCCTGTTGCTGTTGCCGGTGTTTGAGAAAGAGAAGCAGGAAGAGGAAGTCATGTTCGTACACCGCGTCTACCTGCAC